AACACCTACTCAGCCCTGTGCCGTGGACCAAGGAGCTGCAGGGCCAATGCCTCTGTGGCCAGCTGGTCCCGGGGCACCCACACCCACATTTTGACATCAGAATGGGCCTTGGACAGGATGTCCTCTCACTTACCTTCTTCGTTTCAGTCTGGTTGGCTTCACACCCAAAAGCTGGTGCTTCCTAGGTTTTTTGGGAAGGAAAGCATGCATGTGGGCAGAGGGGCAAAGAATAAAGCACATTTTGAGCCAAGTTGTTCCTTTTAAGAGTTCATACTAATATATTTTGATAAATTATATCATTAGTCAAGCATGATTGGATTCTTATTTTTTAAAAAGCAGTGGATGGGTTTGCAGCTCAGTTTTTTTGTTGTTATTTTAAACTTGGTAATTTCTGCACCCAGCTTTAGTTTAGAATAGGATCCTTTGACTTCCAGGGAATCATGGCTAAGAATTTATTGGGCAAAAAGAATGAATTAGATGTTGGGCTGAACGCTGTTTGGGATAAGCAAAATATGAGACATCCTTATCTTTGCTTTCCAGAAGCTTCTAATCCAGCTGAGGCGATAAGACTGAAAAATAACTAACACAAGATAGCGATCCAGTCCAGCGGGCATTGCTGAGAAATATCACCACAGCAGGAGGCCATTTCAACTACACGGATCAGGAACCGCTGCAAGCAGACCGTGGATGTGACTGGATGGGGTAGGTGAAGGAAGCACCTTTCACATGAGCAAAGGTGGGACAGGTGAGGGGTACATGAGGTTTGGGCAACCAGTTGTGTTGATAAAGGCTCACACCTGGGGGAGTCCCTGGCCAAGGAGGATCTGAGCTGTCTGACGCCAGCAGGAAATCACTGAGGGTGCGAGAAACCAAGTCCCGTGCTGAGAGCAGCATGTGGAGAGCCTGGAGCAGGGAGAGCGGATGGGAGGCTGGCAGACCTGCAGAACTAAGGCAGCAGGAAGGGCTGGCCCCAGGGGAAGGACTGGATGAGGTGACACCTTGACTGTCCAGGCAGATGAGGGAGGAATGGGTGGTATGGCAAGATCCTGCTGGGAGAAAAAGCGCAGCAGGCGACAGGAGAGAGGACAGGGAGAGGCGGGAGCTGTGTGCCCAATGGATTTCCCAGGGGAGGGAGAGGGCTCCTATTCTGAGTGGCTGGTCTGAGGGAGCTGCATGGTGATGACTGAGGAATTCGGGTAGACGGACTGTTGATGAGGTTGAGGTTTCCTGTGCACAGCCAGGGGGACTCTTGGTTCCCAGGTGTCCCTGGTGTTGCTCGGAAGCTGCTGGGCGGCTCTGTGTGTCCCGCTGTGCAGGGCTAGGACCCTCTCTGGAAGCCACCTGGTTTTCTCCCGACTCCACCAGGGGGTTTGGAAAGTTCCATAGTGGACAGCTGGCCACCTGCGTCATCTTATTCTCCTACCCTTGTCTTAAAACCCCTCCCTACACCAGGCCCCCATGTTCCAGGGGCACAAGCTTCACCCCTGTCCCAGGGGGTGGCGTCAGGAGGGCCGGGCAGCGAGTAACCCCATCATATTTCTCAGCAAGTGGTTCAGGAATGAGCACTGAACTCAACTTAGGACTTGGGTTGAGCCCCATGGGAAGGAGACTCTTTGGGTCTATCTAGCTAGTCTTGAACCCGAGAGGATGTATGCTGAAGCGACTGCCGGCACCAAGCCCCACGTGGATCCTGCCAATCAAATCGGCTTGGAAGGGAGCACACAATGTCATAGTAATTTATACTAATAATAGGGTAATATGCTAATTAGACCAGATACACCAGATGTCATTCGGATGTCATTCTGGATGTCTTTCCTGACAAAGGGAGGTGTGGCCAGCCTGCAAACCACCTGTGGTCTTTCACCCAGGCTGGCCCTGCCCTCCAGTTGGAACCCCCACTTCTTCGGGGGCGTGGCCAGCCTGTGAATCCTTGGTGGCACCAAGCCCAGGCTGGCCACCCAGTCAAGTGGAAGAACACGAGGGGCTAGATGGCCATGGACAGGCCAGTTCCTGACTGGGCTCTAGAGGCCTGTGCTCTCGGGCCCCATACGTCGCCTCTTTCCCAGAGGATGGTGCTGTGGGTTCCCTGCAGGGGACTCTCCAAGCTGAGTGCTTGTTGCACAACCAGGAGACAGTGGAGGCCTGCAGAGCTTTTAAGTAGGTTCTGCGAGGGAGGAAAATAATTGTCCCCTGCCCTTCCGAGTTCTTAGCTGAAGCCCCTGTAATAAGATTAACAAGAGAAAACAAACAAGAGTCTACTAATATGTGTTCCTTGTTATACATGAGAAAAGCCCAGGAAAAACCAACTCCCCAAGGTAACTTCAAATTGAGGATTAGGCCAAAACCGGTTTGGCTCAGTGAATAGGGCGTCGGCCTACAGACTGAAAGGTCCCAGGTTCGATTCCGGTCAAGAGCATGTACCTTGGTTGCGGGCACATCTCCAGTGCGGGGTGTGCAAGAGGCAGCTGATTGATGATTCTCTCTCGTCCATGTTTCTAACTCTCTATCCCTCTCTCTTCCTCTCTGTAAAATATCAATAAAATATATATATATATATATATATATATATATATATATATATATATATATATTTTTTTTTTTTTTTAAATTGAAGATTAGATAGGAAAAGGGGAGGGGGAGCAGAACTTTTAGGGGAGAGGAAATGACTTTTAGGAAAGGTGAATGGGCCCTTGGAAGGGTTGGAAGGTCTGAGTCTGGGTGTGGTGTCCGCTTCTGGTCTTTTCTCCTGTGACAAGACACATTTGGTTGACGACACACGGAGAGGGGACTTACGGGAATAAAATTACTTGATAAATTTTATCTATCATATTCCATGATCTCCAGCCCACCAAGGTCCAGTACACATAGAGATCGTCTTAAGGCAGAGAAGGGATGTTCAAAGAAAGCCTCTCCCTGCATCTGCTATTTCAAGTGCCTACAGCTCAGAATAATATACCAAAATGGCATGTTTTGGGGTAGTGTGTCCTGAATGCCTACTGACATTTTGGGATGGCATATTCTACTATCCTTCAGTTCCATGATTTCCGTGCATGTCTGTTTGCTTAGTACATTTTTTACATTTTCCAGGTTTGGGTCTAAGATTGGTTTCATAGGAAAAAAAAAAAAAAAAAAAAACAACCCCAGTAGTAGGAGGTGGGGCGAGTAGGAGTCCCCTTTACCTCTTTACCTTTCTCAGTGTGGGTGCTGGTATTAGCATAGAACCCACACCTGCCCTCAGGGCTGAACTGAGAGGGAAGACAGTCCCTAACCCTGAATTCAATGGTGGCCTCTGGACTCCCAGTTAGGGAGGCAATCTATCCCCTCCTTGCTTAGTCATTTTTTAAACACCTTTGAAAGGATTGACTAGTCTTTCTTGACTATTACGTATTACAAGACGTGTAGAGACAAAGTAGAAATTCTGTCTTTCCTGCAAAAATGGAAACAAAGCCCATATGTAAACTCTAATTCACTCCGATTTATTCTGGGGTTTACATTACAGATAACACAATTCGCAAACATACTAGGGAACACGGAAAACTAAGGCCTTCTGTGAGTTACTTTAAACACTTGGTGTTTTGCACATAATGATCCTTAAAAAAAAACTAAATTACCCAAAACAAGACTCTCTTCTGCTATAAAGATTTAAGGTCAGTACAAGACACCTTTTGGGCCACATCTAATCCGAAGCGCACCTGTGACGAGACCATGCGTGTTCTCCTGGGCATACTAGTTCTCAGGCACCCGGAGCCTCAGCACCAGGCTCTCCTGGTGGCATTTGAGTGGCGTTTACCACGGTGCTCGGTGGCTTATGAACCACTCCCAGTGAGTAGCGAAGAGACTTACCTAAGAAATACCTTGTAAAATTCTTGGAACAAGAAAAAGGGAACTGTAACTATGGCACTGAAAGCACATTATTTATATGAAGAAATGTAAACAATTGAATACCAACAGCCCCCACCCCCCCAATCAGTCTCTTGTGAAAGTGCCGGGGCGTGGGGTGGGGACAGAGCTCCAAGCCCTTTCTGCAGAGTCGAGTCCTGGGGGAATTAACTCATTTTCAAGTGACTTAAGTGGATGCTGTTATTTCCCCCTAACCTGTGTGCAATAAACGAGGAAGGGTTTTATTAGTTTTATTTTTTATTTTTAAATATATATGGATATACTTTCTTTTCTTAAAATAAATTTTATTGGTTTTTCACAGAGAGGAAGGGAGAGGGATAGAGAGCTAAAAACATCGAGAGAGAAACATTGATCAGCTGCCTCCTGCACACCCTGCACCGGGGATGTGCCCGCAACCAATGTACATGCCCTTGACCGGAATCGAACCTGGGACCTTTCAGTCCACAGACCGATGCTCTATCCATTGAGCCAAACCAGTTTTGGCTTATTAGGAGTTTTAAATGATGGGCTCTAACACTTACTTTTCTTCTAACCGTTTACCACGTTCTTCCACTGAATTTCACTATTCCTTTGATTGTTTGGTAAGAGATTTCTAGTGGAGGAACGAGTGCCTTCGTCCTGGGCTCCCGTTTTCAGTGTGTCGTGCACGGCCTCTATAAACCACGCGCAGGTTTCTGAGAGTGTATCGGGTGGTAACGATTAACAGCTGGACGCACAGCTCTATAAATACTTCAGAGGCCAGTGAGCTCCCTGTGAAGGCCTGACAGGGCGGCGAGTGGGTGCCTAGCAGCTGCTCTGAGCCCACAGAGACGATGTGGGAAGGTGTGGAGGGGTCCTTCTTGAGACAACCACAACACAGAAGCTAAATGAATTTCTACTTGACATTTCCCTGCCAACCTAAGATGGCTCTAAGTTCCAGATCAGAAACCGTATATTTCTTTAATTTCTTTAAATAAGAGAAAATACAAGTGTGATGGAAAACATAAATAAGCAACTTTTTTCTTTTTCTTTTTTTTTTTTTTTTCCTGAATACAGAGTCTCTATACCTTAGTTTTAGTGCTTATCAATTTTGGGCAGGTTAAAAATGTTTGCATTTTATCTTAAATTTTATTTTTATGAGAAAAAACAGAGAAAGGAAAGGACTTCCCTCCCACCAGTGCAGCGTTGAGGAGGACGTGCCCCGGGAGCAGTGAGCAGTGAGGCTGGAAGAGGGGCTGCGGTGTGAGCACCTCTCCCCTTCGCCCACGACAATCCCCGTCCTGATTGGTAAGACTAATTGTGTGTTTCCAAATATAACCAAAGAAAGCCTGAGAGAAACCTACATTAGAAACCTCCTTTATTAGGAAAAGTATTAAAATAAAATAAAAATACCCTAAAAACGACACACAGCTGGGCTTGCAGCAGATGCACACAATAAAGTGATGAGGCGCGCCTGGCGGTTTGGCAGCCTCGGGGGCTGTTACAGACAGCTGGTGCGGCTGGCGGGGGCCTGAGCTCATCCTCCCCCAGTGAGGACGGGGTGTCCACCGTGCTGTGCGCAGACAGGACTTTCTCAGAGAAACGGCTCAGTAAGTTCAGCTCACGACGTGCGTACCTCATGTTTCAACTGTTGGTAGAAGTCACCGTCGAGCAGAAATGAGATGCAAGTAAGGGGAAGGCATCCATGCCAAGAGAGTATTTGGAGCAATCAACAGCTTTTGAGACTGGTTGGAGGCAGGAGTTGCTAACAACTAAAGCCTTTTAATTCCCTCCGATTTTCTGCTGCTCTAACGAGCATCCTCGTTATGTAACAAAAAGTAGTGGCGGCTTCAGTAAAGGGGAAACACTGCCATGTGCTTTTTATGCCTCAGGAGGCTGGTGCTGTTGGTTTACCGGGTTTTCCACCAACTCCCTATGACTGGAATATTTAGGTGAACAACTGATCAAAACTGGGTTTAAATTTTACTACTGACAGAGGAAGCCTAGTACTAAAAATGAGATACCTCCCTTGTTATTAAAAAATAAATAAAAAGGATTCATTTTTGTGTTATTTTGGTTTTAAGAAAGCTTGGCAAGGCTAAAAGGGTTCAGTAATTTAGAATAAACCATTATTGCCTTGTCTGCAAGGGTTTTGTTGTTTTAATGGAAAAAGAGACCCATGCATATGTAAAAAATATACTAACCTTCCTTTTGTAGGCAGGTTTTGGAGAAATATTTCAAAAGAGACAACTTCAAAGGAGAGTTCTGACTGCAGCAACGGAACAGTCTACATTTTCCGGTAAAAAGTGAGTTTTTACTGTTTTTAACACACAAGAGGTTACACCTGCTGACAGGCTGTAGAGAAACCAGCACTGAGCATGTGCAATCAAGTAGAAGTGAAGAACTAAACTGTATCAGTTCCTGTCATTAAAAAGTAAGTGAAGGTTTCTAAGGGGAGAGCCTGCGGTTGCCCTGAGACGGCCCAGGCTTGTTCTCCACAGGAGAAAGGGCACCGGTGGTCTTCTGACGCCCAGGTCGGCCCAAGGCTAACTGCCACAGTCTTATGAATAATGAAGGGCTTCTATCAAAATGTTGGTCAGTTAAAGGACAAGAGTTTTCTGTTTTCTGGTCTGCAGGAAGGAAGCAGTGGTTTGATTGGCACAGAAAGGAGCTGGGAGGGAGGGCCAGGAGGAAGTGCCAGCAGCTGAGCTGGGCCAGTGCTCGCAGGCCACAGATCTGTCTCTTGTACGCAGTCATTAGAAAATGGGATTGAGCCTTTGAGAAACCTTGTGCGCACCTTGTCTGTGAATAGCTTGATGATTGTTTAAGAATACTCTGGCCCGAGCGAGCAATTCACAGCAATTGCTCCCTGCTATGCATGTTGCAATCACATTCAGAGATTAAAAAAAAAAAAAAAAAAAAAAAAAAAAATTCGTGTGTGGCAATATTTTCCCACAAAACTTAAGTGCAAAGTACCTTTAACAAATAATGATGGTAGTAGGAAATATTTGGCCTAGTCATGCAAAATCGCATCTCAGTTACAAAGGCTTACATTTCCCAAATATTTCCTAGGTTGTCACATTGTGGACCTCATAATCTTACTCTTCTTTCCTTGCATTTGAATGTGACTGTTTGTGTAAATAACGGTAGCATGCAAGTTCCATGAACTCCAGCCCACCAAATATTCTCTCTTGCACTACAAAGATGACAATGGTGATTATAAAATACCACCGAACAAGACTGTACAAATATATGAGTAGGCACATGGCAGGGCTGAACAGGACCCAATACAGTATAGAGAGAAATTTGACCACGAGGACCCTGAGCTCTGACTTGCACGGAGGGACGACAGGCTGCCCGGTGAGGCGGAAATCCCTCTCCCCTTGGTAGAAGGAGCGCAGCCTCTCCTCCTTCTCCTCCCACCGCTTGTGGCACCAGAGCTCCAGGTCCTCCTTGGACGTGGGCAGGGCATCTACTGGGTAGCGGTGCACGTGAAAGTGGATCTCTTTGGGGAAGTCCCCCTCCAGGATGTGCTTCTCCGTCTGAGGGATGTTGTGAGGGTACGCCACTGTGATGTCGTGGACAGCGTCGAGGTTCTTCCCTACATGTGGAAAGATGAAAGGACAGGTTGAATTATATAATTTGGGCAGCAACGCTGACCCACAATGCAAGGCAGAGCCAAAACCCAGAAAACTATCAGAACAGAGTGAACCATGAGGAACAAACAGGGCTATAAATACTGGTGTTCTAGGCACAGGTCAATATTTACCAGTCATTTTGGTTTTAGAGAGAAATGATCTTCATTCGTAGAAATAGTAACCTACATCCTAGAACTAAAAAGATAAGCACACAAGTCAGGTTTGAGACAAATGAAAAAGCACAGGATCAGCCCTCTTATACCAACAGGATTCACTGCTTTGATGCCTCCTATTAATACACCCTTCTCTCCAAATACACCACAAACTGTCCACCTTTAACCCAATATTGCCATGACAGCTACTGGGAAAAAAAACTCAGAATCAGACTTGATAAAGTGGCCAGAAACTCATGAAAATGTCCATATGATTTTTTTTTTTAACTTAACAACTTGAAGTCCTAATAAGACCGTGACCCGGTATTACCACCAGCCTTAGCACTTCTGTGATGAATTTTTCTGGGGTTGTTTTCAGCAGTCATATGTTAGATGCTGAAGATAAAGAGATAAGTAAAACATGGGCCCTAACTTCACTCATGAGTTCACAACAGAACCAGAGAGATAGGCATGAATAGTGCCCTAAACAGACCAGAGGTGCATCTGTAAGGGGGGAGGGAACAGGCACAGATAGGTGGAGGGAGGGGAGAGGAGGAAGGGGAAGGGGCAGAGCAGGGTGGGACTGTGGCACCCTGCAGGTTGGAGGCAGGCAGTAAAGGCCCTAATTGTCAAACTGGGGAATTGGAACTCAGTTCTGCAAGTGGGAGAAACAGCTCAAGTGGTGGAGAACCACTTCAGGATTTTTAAACAGGAAGGGATCATGGTTTCATTTTAGCAAGAATTATGTTGGGGGCAATGAAAGAATGGTTTGGAAAGGACCAAGGGCAAAAAAGGTAGGAAGAGTATTTGATGGTCATTGTAAGGCAGGAAAGACTGGAAATGGGAGGTAGAGGCCAAAGGAAGTGACATGTCCAATAAAGTTATAAAGAAGAACTAATGTCACAGAGTGAAAAGGTGAACGAAGCCCAGGTTTGTTGCTGGCCCAGGGAACCAAGTGGATTGGGGGGGGGGGGGGGGGGCGGGGCGCTAAGATTACAAATGTAAGCAGAGTATATGATCTTTAAGGAATCATGAGGATTACCTAATGGAACACTGTAGACAGGGCCCAGAGAGGTTAAGTGTCTTGGCCAAGGTACACAGAGTGTTGGTGCAGTGTCTGAATGTCCTTTTGTTCTGATCCATGTTATTGTCAGTGATAGATTTTTGATGTGGACTTTGATTAATTAAAGAACTATATGATGCAGGAAAAACTAATCCGTGGTACCATAGTGGGCTGTGGGCATGCACACTGATTGGAAGGGGGCATGAGTTAATTTTCTGGGTGGTAGAAACATTCTATATCTAGATTAGATATTACATCAAATTGTACATTTAAAGTCTGTGCATTTCACTCTATTAAGTTTTTCTTTCAATATTAATAACAATAGAGATGCAGCAGCTTTCTCACCATGCTACCCTTCCTACTGACTTGTTGTGTTCATTTTGTTTTAGTGCTTCTTTAAGTCTTCTGTCAGTGTTTACTGACCATGCTATTTACTTAAGGGTAAGGACTGGGTTTCAATTTGGAGTCATAATTCTCTTGTAAAGATAATAGACCTTAATAAGGGCTTTGTTGTAAAAAGTGAAAATAACTACATAAACAGACTTTGGACAAAATTAAATGTTCACCAATGGAAACTAGAGGAAAAGAAAGAAGACAGAGGGTCAAGAGGCAATAATGGTCAATTCCAAGGAGTTAAAAACAGAACAAATAACATTCATGTCCATGGAGGCCCCTAATTCAGGATGTTTATCTATAATCTGCTTGTTTCTGGTGACACTGAATTTTTGATAAAAGAGAACAGCACATTTAATATGTTGAAATATTTGGAATGAAAATTGATTCCTAAACGCAAGGAACACAGAATGTACTAACTCTAAGCTTAATATTTTAATATAAATTAGAATCAGTGTATTGTTTTCTGACAGCCTGTTACAGCACTTGCTATACTCTTAAATTTAGCAAAGTGACATCAAATGTAGGTTTATAGAACCATTCAAACAGCAAGATCTGTGACTATAAAGATGATTTTAATATTTCTAATCCTCTGATGTTAAAAACAATTTCCACCAGACATTGATATACAAGTGGATAAATAACATGAAATTAAATCAGTCTGTACTTGAGGAGCTATCTTAATCAGAAAGAGATTTAATGAAAAGCCTCAGCTTAGAAGAATACTCTAATTACTACAGGCTAATATTTGTCCACAAAGAAGGATTTGTTTCAGGATTAGTCAGAGACCAGGAGAAGCCAGAGACACCAATTCGATAATGGAATGCCTAATTAAATGATAATGGAATCCTAATGATAATGTATTGCTTTCCCCTGCACATGATTTATTTACCACAACTGCTTTTCACTTGGTTCATTACAGAAAACTAAATAAAATGCAATTACTAAAAATAAACTGGGAAAGAAAAAAGAATTGGTAAATTAGGCTTTTTTTTTTTTTTTTTTTTAACATGGGGAAATTCAGATGTAACAAAAAGTCTATTAGAAAACAGTCCTGCTGCAGAAGACAGTAATTTTCTAAGAGAGATCTAAGTAATCTGTATTCGTATTCGTGTGCACAGTTTTTGGTTGTGAATCGAGTGAAACCTGTAAAATATTTTTAAATTTTAAGTGCTTTGCAGTGGTACTTAGCTTTCCTTAATTCTCACATATAAATCGAAAACTTTTAGGTCTTTTGTTAAACTATCTTAAAATGCAAAGAATTTATACTATATGAGAATCCATTATTTCTTTTCTAACTTTTGCTTTGAAATAATTTCAGGTTTACAAAAAATGTTGCAAAGTACTAAAAAGACTTCCAGTAAACTCCAGTAAACTCCACGCACTTCCCCAAATGTTAGCATCTTATACAACCACTAGAGGCCCAATGCACAAAATTCACAACCCCAGGGGTGGCGGGGAAGAGGACAATGCTCAGCCCAGCCTGTGTTGTGCCCTCTTGCAATCTGGGACCTCTCACTCCTAACCGCCCACCTGCTCACTCCTAACCGCCCGCCTGCTTGCTCCTTACCACTTGACTCGCCATTCCTTAGCACTACCACGAAGGTGGGAGAGGCTCCCGCCATGGCCACTGCACTCACCAGCCATGAGCCTGGCTTCTGGCTGAGCAGCACTCTCACTGTGGAAGCACACTGACCACCAGGGGGAAGCTCCTACATTGAGCATCAACCCCCTGGTGGTCAGTGTGCATCATAGAGACCGGTTGTTCTGGTCGTTCCACCATATCAAATTTTATTCAAATTTTGCCAACTGTTCCACTATTGTCCTTTTTTTGGTTCCAGGAACCAATGTTGATAGTAACTTTGTGGAATGTTTCTCAATTTGGTTTGTTTGGTGTTTCCTCATAATTAAAACCAAGTGATGCATTTTGGCATGAAGTGGAGATGTTCCCTTCTCAGTGAATCTTATCAGGATCTGTTATCTTTTCAATACAAATTGAAGCAACCTGAAAGGGATAACAGCTGCTTCTTACATACACATCACCATGGATGTGTTAATAATGTAACAGCCAAGGTTATGTTTTATTTTCTCCGTCATTGGGACGCTGGATTTGATGAGAATGTCTTCCTCTAAATCCCACCACTCTCTCTGTGAGTTTCTCTTATGGCATTTACCATTTTTTCTAGTTTATACTAAGTGTTTATGTCAAAATCATATCTCTTGGATTAGACTTTATATTCCTCAAGGGAAAGCTGAAGGTCTTTCTCATCTTTGTATTCTTCATGTGGCTCTGAACATAGAAACACCTGTAATAAGAGAAATGACTCCTCTATACTACAAAGAGTAAGAAGAAGAAAAAAAAGAAATACACGAAATGTAGGTACTCTTTCATGTTATTTTATTCAATACTCTCAATAACCCCATGAAGTGGATCTTAAGACCTAGGTTAAGTAATCTATCTGAGGTTGCAAAGCCAATAAGGGGCAGGGATGATTTAACCTAGGTCATTCTCATTCTACAGCCCCGGTGATTAGATTCAAGAATTTAATAGTGGGAGACAGTTGAAGACTTTCTCATTTTCAGTTTGGTAAACTGAAGATCAGAGAGATTAAGTACTCTTTCAAAGAGGCTTAGAGTTGGCTGAATAAAAGGGCTAAATTTAGAAGCTAGTTTTCCTGCCTCTCAGCGTTAGTTAGCTCACTCCATTGCATAAAAGAACTGGAGCAAAGGCTCCCAAATTGTACTTTGGTATTCTCAATAGGCACCATTTAAAAGTTAGAATCTGGAAGAATACAATTAATTGGTCTTTACATAATTTTTTTTTTAAAGTCTCTCAAAATGTTAAGTTTGGGAGCAAAAGTCATTTAGACAAACTCAAATATCTTAATTTAATTATACTGCAAACATAACTGAAATTCTTTCCATTTCTGAAACATATTACAAGCAAGACATCAATTGATCAATGTTTACCCTCAGTGGAAGAAACACACTGTTCTAATTGAGAATGTGTCCAATGGAAAAGGACTAAATTATGGTATGTTTCTGCATATGGTTCTGAAATGAAAAAGTTTTCCATTATTCTTCTAGATATGACTATGAAAACCTAATTATATTTGAAAGAATTATGGCCCACGTGTGAATTTTTAAACAGTTCCTTCACTGACCTGTAATAAAGTGAGAAATGGTATGATCTATCACATTTCTAAGTTGAACTAAGTTATCTTTTATTCCAGTGAATTTACATTGCTTACAGTAAATTTGCTACTTAATAATATGAATAAACTTTCTTTTAGTAAGTATCTAGGCTGACAGAGAAAATGAAAGTTTATAAGTGAATAGAACGACCATATAAACA